AAAAAATTCATGTGACACGAATTAGAAATTTTTTATTTAATATAGAAAATAATTTGAAAGGACATGTCACACGACTGTTACTAAAATCCTACCGTTGTCCGTTGAAACGATAATTTTTTAATTGATAAAATCAAGGGATAAAGCCAAAAATCCGCTGAAACTAGGGTTCGACTGTATGCACTTTGTAGGTTTTTTATGAATAAGCAAAACAGTTATTTTCCCCACGTTCTTACTCCCACTCCTAATGATTTCTTAGCATCAGCATAAAAGGTGTATATGATCTTATCCGTAGAAATCTTCGCCAACTCCTGGATGTAATACATATTTACTATAAATACTCTTGCAAAACTTTAATTGCTTCACGCGAAGAACAAAATAACCATGTCGGTAATCTATTCCAAGAATCAATGTAATTCGAATCTATAAATGATTTGGTTCGAATCTACAGTATATACTATATGAAATAATTTGAGTCCTGCATAACTTTAAAAGATTTGTCTTTAGAAATAAACAGTTCTGAAAAAAGATTTACCAAGTACAATAATTGCATTTGGCTTTTCCATCTACAACTGTGAAATGGTTCCGCATTTTACTTCTTTCTTCTTTGAACACATTTCACTGTGTCAACTGAAAAAATTATTGAAGAGGCATCATTTTCAACAATGAAATTATTGTATTTATGAATTCGTTTCAAAATTCGTGTTACATGCACACAAAATATCGATTTTTTTTGGTACCACTATTTTTAAATTTAATTGAAGAAATGTCTTTGGAAAATATTGAAGTTAAATCAAAAGAATCAGTTCACCATAAATTTATGAAAAAAGCTCTTGTTCTTGTGTGTAGTTATTTAATTTTTAATAAAAAAATTGTACATGGAAAAAAAAGTAACTTTTTAATAATAGATAGGCACAAGAGGCTTATGATCAATTAGAAGTTCCGGTTGGATGTGTGATTGTATTAAATAATGAGGTTATTGGTACTGGAAGGAACAGAACAAATGAAAAACTTAATGTAATTAATTGATTGATATTAATCATTACTATAAATCATCATTATTATTGTTTTTATTGAATATTTTTCTTGATATTGTTAGGGTACAAGACACGCAGAATTAGAAGCGATCGATCAAATACTGTACACAACAAATTATACAAGTGATATATTTCAACAGTGTACATTGTACGTTACTGTTGAACCTTGCGTTATGTGTGCATATGCTATAAGAATATTAAGTAAATTTTTTTTTTTGAAAATAATTAGTTTGGATTTTTTTGGATTATTAAAAAAAAATGCATTTTTTTTTTAATAAAAAAAGGAATCAAACATGTATATTATGGATGTTCCAATGAGAGATTTGGCGGAACTGGTTCAGTGTTTAATATTCATAATGAGTAATCCATCACATTCATACTTTATTTTATTTTATATAAAGAAATATTTAGTTTATAATTTATGCATTTATGATATTAGCACTAAATTAACATTGCATCCTGCTTATCTGTGCGAAGGAGGATACTATCGTGAAGAATCAATAATGTTATTAAGAAAATTTTATGTTAGAGAGAATAAAAATGGTAATATTTTATGCAGTAAAGTATATTCATTCATACAGTATAATATATATTTCTAAAAATAATTCTTTTTGTTAGCACCTGAACCTAGGAGAAAACATCAAAGAATCTTGAAAACTGAAATCAAACCTTCAAATAAATGATAGAAAAATTATATTTTCTTTTTATAATTAATTGCAAAATTTTATTTATTATAAAATAATACTCAAATCTATAAATGTTCTATCAATATTCACATATTTTAATCACAATTCTGTCCAATCCAAATAAATAAAAAAGAGAAAAAATTTATAAAAGATCAGAATAATCAATCTCTATTATGAAAAATATTGCATCGCCCTCCTTATTTCTACAAACAAACCTAAGTGGTTGATTTCTTAAAACTTTTAACATACTAAATTTAACAATCATATCAGCGTTCATTGTAGAAAAATTAGTAAAATTATTAAAAAAATCAAAAGCATAAACCAAAGAAGGATCGAATACAAAACGTTTTCGTATTTGTGGGTCAAGAAAATAATTACGTCTTTTTGCTGAAGTTAATTTTTGCTCATTTGGTAAAATTAATCGCGTGTCCTCATCAAGATAATTCTTTCCGTAATAAATCCATGATTCTTTAGGTACTAAAAGTGGTGAACCTGATGCAATCAATTTCTTATTATTGTCGTTGTTGTTGTTGTTGTTGTTTCCATCATTGTTATTGTTGTTATTCTTTTGGCGACTCTTTACATTTAATTTTTGTTTGGTGGATTTTTTTTTTCCAAAATGTTTCTTTTCATAAAATTTATAATCTTCATCATCAGATTTCCAAACTTTAACGATATTCATGCCACAAATAAGCCAACTGCCAGCAGAAGGTCTCTTTTTTAAAAGCATACCATTTGCTGTAAATCCTGGATCAATCATACTTGCAAATTTTACAGCTAAAGAAGCACCAAAAGGTGGGTTGATGAAGTTTTCAGTTTCAGCTAAAAAGAATACATCATCAAATGTCCATAAATTGTCTACTTTTCTTTTTAAATTTGTTGGTTTGAAACGTCCTTGAAATTGAAAAGAAAAAAATCTTCGATGGTTTTCAAAATATGAGTTTGTTGTTATAACCTCCTCATTTTTATTATGGTGATTTTGCAATCGAACAGTTATGTAGCCTGTGAAATGTTTAGAGTCAACATAAAAAGGATTTTCATCATCGTTCACATTATAGGGCTGAAGTGAGTCATAAGTTGGTCCTATTCTGACTATTGGCATGCTTATTTTTATTTCTTATTTTTTAAAAAAGAAAGTATTAAATAATAATAATTTATTATTGTCGTTGTTATTATTATTATTATTATTATTATTATTACTATCAATTAAAAGTTTGCTTATGATAAATATGTAAATGAAGAGGCCTGCTGCTTCAGTTTTAAAAAAAAAAATTTCTACAAAAAATTGCACAATAGGAAAAGTTTGTGTTTCAATGGTTTCAATGTATGATTACAATTTATTTATTATAAACATATTAATAAACAATCAATTAATTGTGGTGTTAACACATACAATTTGTCATTAATAACGCGACAACATTCTATTTTTAATATTAAACGTCACAGTCGCTCCGGAAGTATTAAAATTCTTGTCATTATAAATCAATAATGATGTCAAAACCCAGCTATCTTTTCAAGAACTTGTAAAGTATTATTTATTAGTGAGAACTAAATCAAAAAAAAGATGTATGGACTTTAACCGATGATGATAGATTATGCATATAGTGTACATCTCAAAATTCCAGTGGGCTTACTTGTATGAAAAAAAGTGTAGAAAGAAGCTTAAGATGATTTTTTAAAAATACGTTCGTTTGCAATTAGAAATTTACATTAATATTAATAAGTATACTACTAATACATAAATAGAATATTGATTAATAAAATTACCAAATATGATTTTTAATCATCACTTGTTGTATTTACAGGTTCTCGGAAACTTTTGATTGGGTAAAAAACATATTAATATAATTAATATAGTAATAATCAGTGTATGGGTTTTGATTACGCAATAAACGTTATTAAAATTTTAAATTTGTGCCAAAATTTAAGTTTAATTTTTTGTGACATATTAAATATTAATATTAATATATATAAATTATCGGTCCGTTGTAGAACAAGGACCGTCATAATAATTAATAAATAATAATAATAATGATAAAACCCAGTCTTGATGTATATGCAAGTGGGTTTCAATTGATCGTCGACAATTTTATTTGTTTGTACTACGATCATTAAAAAGGAACTTAAATTTAATTTGTCGCATAAAATTATTCTACATCTTGCTTTTTTTACTATTACCAGATTTCGGTATGATTTAATAGCCGGTGGGCCATACTAACTTCCCAAGCATAATTTTTTATCCATAAAAAATGTATATATAAACTCGAAAAATTTTCGATCGTTAAAAATCTCAAAGAAATAAATTGTCCTTTGAACTTGGGATACATATTCTTGTAAAAAATAAAAATAAAAATTCCCCCAATATTAAATAAAAAAATTATTTCTTTATAATAAACAAAATGTCCAATAAACAATTAGTTACATTAAATATCGATGATAATAATAATAATAATGGATTACTGGATCCGGAGGCTGAAAATGTTTTAAAGTCTCAAGTTAATATTGACGAACATAAACCATCATATTGGCAATTATATTCTTTTGCCAGTAGAAAAGATTGGTGTATAATGATTTTTGGTTTAATATTTTCTGCTATTAGTGGTGCTGCTACGGTAAATACTTGCGACTTTAAAAAAAATATATCTAACACGTTGCGTAATATATACATTTCTAAAAATAAATAATTAATTGAATTCATTAGCCATCAACGACAATCATATTTGGAAAAATGGTTAATTCTTTCACAGAATTCCAAACAGGCCAAATTAGTGGTGAAGACTTTCAAAAAACAGTTAATAGTAACACATTATTCTTTGTATACCTTGCCATTATTACTTTTGTTGCCACTTATATTTATATGGCATGTTGGGTTTATACTGGTGAAAGGTGAATAATTTATTACACAATAAAATAACGAATCAACTGCGCATTTATTATTAATTTACTAATTTGTTAATGATATTCCCCCTAAAAAAAAAATCATTTAGAATTACACGAAAAATTCGTGAAGCTTATCTTCGTGCGATACTTCGTCAAAATATTGCTTATTTCGATAAACTTGGTGCTGGTGAAGTAACAACTCGTATCACCTCTGATACCCATTTGATCCAAGATGGTATTAGTGAAAAAGTTCCCGTAGCTGCTCATGTAATTATCAAATTAATTTAAATAGTTTTATTTCATTTTTTAATATTAATCTGATATAAATTTTATTCTTCATATACTTTCTTTATTTTTTAGTATATTGGTGAATTCATTACTGCATTTATTATAGCTTTTGTAAAAAGTTGGAAAATGACACTTGTGATTTGCTGTGCAGTACCATTGATTGCAATAACAAGTGGAGTCATGAATAAATTCACTTCAGTATACATGAAGAAAGCTTTGGATTCTTATTCATTTGCTGGTACAATAGCTGAAGAAGTTATTTCAACAATCAGAACTGCTGTGGCATTTGGAAACCAGAAAAAACTTTCTAAATTATATGATGTACATTTGGGAAAAGCTAAAGTTCAAGGTGTAAAAAAATCTATAGTCAATGGTACTTCAATTGGTGTCATCTATCTTTTTCTTTATTCAACATATGCCTTGGCTTTTTGGTTTGGATCAACTTTGATTTTATCTGGTGAATTAGCTTCTGGTGATGTTGTAAATGTATTCTTTGCTGTGATGATTGGTGCTTTCTCTCTTGGAAACCTTGCTCCTGAGATTCAAGCTTTCAGTTTTGCAATTGGTGCAAGTTCAAAAATTTTTGAAACAATTAACCGTGTTCCAGTAATTGATTCTTCATCTGAGGAAGGTAAACAACTTGTAGATGGTGTTCAAGGTCACATAGAACTTAAAAACATCTCTTTTGTTTATCCTGCAAGACCTGATGTTCAAACTTTGGATAATGTTTCATTGGATATTCCAGCTGGTTCCACTGTGGCTTTGGTTGGTTCATCTGGGTCAGGAAAAAGTACAATTGTATCACTTGTTCTCAGGTTCTATGATCCTGTTATGGGAAGTATTACAATTGATGGTCATGACATAAAATCATTTAATTTGAAATGGCTACGTAGACAAATGAGTTTGGTTGATCAAGAACCTGTACTTTTCAATACAACAATTGCTGAAAATGTTTCTCATGGTTTGATTGGTTCAGAGCATGAGCAGCTTGATGATGAAAAAAAACATGAAATGATTGAAACTGCATGTAAAATGGCAAATGCACATGATTTCATTATGAATTTACCAAATAAATATGACACAATGGTTGGTGAAAATGGATTCTTATTATCTGGTGGTCAAAAACAATGTATAGCAATTGCTCGTGCTATTGTTAAAAATCCAACAATTTTATTACTTGATGAGGCTACAAGTGCTCTTGATACCAACAGTGAGGGGATTGTACAAGATGCTCTTGATAAAGCTTCACAAAATCGTACAACTATAGTCATTGCCCATCGTTTGTCAACAATCAAAAATGCAACAAAAATTATTGTAATGGATAAAGGTGTTATTGTTGAATCTGGTAATCATAATGAACTTATGGCAAAAGAAGGTTACTATTTTAAGTTGATTGAGGCCCAACATATAATAAGTAAAACTGAAGAATCATCATCATTATCAATTCCAACCAAAAGACAAGAGGAAAATTTTCCTGATGATGAAGATATTCAAATAAGTTGCACAGTTACAAATAAGTCAGCATCATCAGCAAAAATATCTAAAAAGTTGGCTGATATTGAATCTGGTATCAAGAAAGATAGCGATTTTAAAACATTTGAACTTGTAAGAAAAGTGGCTGCTATAAATCGACCAGAACTCCCATTAATATTTTTTGGATTATTTGGTGCTATTGTAGCTGGTTCTGTTTATCCAGCGTTTGGTATAATATTTTCAAAAATTGTACAAGCATTTGCTGCAACTGGTGATGAATTAACTCATGAGGTCAGATTTTGGTCACTTATGTTTTGTATGTATTTTCTTTCCTTTTTATTTTACAATAACATGAATTTTTTTAGATGTTATTAATTTACAAATACTTACTATATCATTGCTTTTCTGATTATCAATTATATTAAATAGTGGTTATTGGTGTTATAACTATGTTGGCTCATTCTATACAAGGGATATCATTTGGGCTTTCTGGTGAAAACCTTACACAACGCATACGGTCACAGTCATTTGCAGCAATATTACGTCAAGACATATCATTTTTTGATGAGGAGGATCATACAGTTGGTGTATTGACAAGTTCATTATCGCTGGATCCAACACATGTGAATGGATTGGCTGGTTTAACACTTGGAACAATTTTACAAGTTTTTGCAACTATAATTGGTGGATTGGTAGTTGCATTGGTGGTTGGATGGAAATTGGCTTTAGTTTGTATGGCAATAATACCTTTGTTGATAGGATCTAGTTTATTACGTATAAACATATTGCATGGATTTCAAGAAAAAAACAAAAAAGCATATGGACATTCTGCTCAAATTGCATGTGAAGGTACAGCCAACATGAGAACTGTTGCAGCTCTTACACGTGAAGATGACTTGTGGAATATTTATCATCATTTGTTGGATGAACCAATGAAACAAGGAACATATAATGCTTTTTATGCATCAATTGCATTTGCATTTTCACAATCTATATTGTTCTTTATTAATGCATTGGCATTTTGGTATGGAAGTACATTGTTTAAGGCTGGTGAATACAATTTACAAAAATTTTTTACAATTTTTATAGCCATTGTTTTTGGATCATCATCAGCTGGACGTGTATTTGCACTTACACCAGATATTGTAAAAGCAAGATCAGCAGCTGCATCCATAATTGCATTATTGGAAAGTAAACCAAATATAGAAAACAATGGTGAAAAGGTTGAGAATATCAAGGGACATATCAAATTTATTGATGTACATTTCCAGTATCCAACAAGACCACATGTCCCAGTATTAAGAGGGTTGACACTTGAGATCAAACCTGGACAGTTTGCTGCATTAGTTGGACCTTCTGGATGTGGTAAGTCAACAACAATTGGATTGATTGAGAGATTTTATGAAACAACAATTGGTAAAGTTGAAATTGATGGGATTGATGCTTCCAAAATGAATATCAATGATCTAAGATCAAACATAGCTCTTGTTTCACAAGAACCATCACTTTACAATATGACAATTAAAGATAATGTGATATTTGGTGCCAAAGAAGGGCAATCACCAACACAGGAGGATGTTGAAAGAGTATGTAAGGAAGCAAACATACATGATTTTATTAAAGATTTACCAGATGGTTATAACACTTGTGTAGGTGGTAAAGGAACACAATTATCTGGTGGACAGAAACAAAGAATTGCTATAGCAAGAGCTTTGATTCGTAATCCCAAAATTTTACTACTTGATGAAGCAACATCAGCACTTGATTCAGAATCAGAGAAGGTTGTTCAAAAGGCATTAGATTTGGCAGCTAAAGGTAGAACAACATTGGCAATTGCACATAGATTAAGTACAATACAACATGCTGATGTAATATTTGTGATAAAAGATGGAAAAGTACATGAACAAGGTACTCATCAAGAATTATTATCAAAGAATGGTATATATTATAATATGGTACAAGAACAAGATTTAAGCACAAATTAACAAGTATTTTATTTATTATTTTGAACAATTTGTATTCGATTATTTTAATTTAATTTAATCCTAATTTTAATATGTAAAAAAAATATAGATTATTTATTAATTTATTACAGCGGGATTTCAAACATTAATTAATAAAAAAATTATTTATTGGCTAATTTGAATTAATTCAAAATTTCAAATTCACATGCACATTAATGCTAGTTTGAGACTCTTATCTATATAATTGTTTTGTATTTTTACCCGCCAAGAATGATTTTGATCTTAATGCCAGGGACACAAAGACCCTCGTTCAATGTACATCCACCAATATGGTCAAAATGCTTGAACATTGTGAAACTTTTATACTATATAATAGATTTTTCGAAAAAGTCAATGCCCTTTCCTGATTGAGTAACCAATCCAAAAGTATAAAATTATCTTGAGCCATCCATCTTTGAACTTGATTCAATTTGTTTTACTTGGCATTATCTACGCCTCTTTCTCTGTATTGTATTTTGTTTTCTGAGCAAATGTATGTTTTTTTGTCATTACAAGTAGTGCTGATGGATGGACCCATCTCAACTAAACATCTATGTCACGGAATTCTGTACTAAAATTCCGGCTAAGGTTTTTCTACTGGCTAACATCAATACTTCCTCCTCCTACGCCTCATTTTAGCACATCTCAAAATAATTTTGCATTATGTGTAATTGACTTATTAAAAATTCGTTCATAAACATACATGCCTCCACGACTTCCATCACCAAGACCACCAACTCTTACTAATAATTAAATAAATGGATATTTTTTTAAATTTATTTGTAAATGATGTTTTATGTTATATATATATATATATATATATATAATGCGTTTTACTACATTCCATTATTTAATAATATTTGAATTTATTTAACTTTTGAAAGTCCTGTCTATACATACTAATAAATCACCACGAGTGTATATAACCCAACCCGCGCGTTAAATTAATTAAATGATCGGCATAAAAAAGATATAAATACGGCATTTTTCATAATAATAGTTTTTCGCGTTGCGTTCATTTAATTTATTCATAATAATAATGATGACAGATTGTTATCCAGTCGAAAAAATAATAAATCATCGAATGATAAAACATCGGAAAAAAGGGGTATGTTTTTTTATTAATTTCTTATTGTTTTTAAAAATTTACTATATATTTTATTTTATTTTTTATTTATTAATAATAATAATAATTAAAAAAAGAGGATTTTAAAATATTTAATTAAATGGGAAGGTTTTGACGACTCTCAAAATACTTGGGAAGATGAAAATAATGTGTAAATTGACTTTATATTTTTTATGAATTTTTTATTTTATATATATATATATTTGATCTCTATCTATTATTTGATAGGTTTGCAAAAAATTTAATAAAAGATTATTGGGACAAACTGGACAATGTAAGAGATATTGATGATGATGATGAAATTATTGATGTTGATGATGACGAGGAAATTATTGATGGTAATAATGATGATAGTGTAGTTGATGTAGTTGATGATATTATATTGAAAAGTAACAAAGAGGATAATAAAAATAATGATTGGGTGGTTGATAATATTGATTGTATGAATGGAAACAAGGAAGATAATAGTAACAATATTGATTGTATGAATGGAAAAAAAGGAAATAAGGAAGACAATAATAACAATATTGATTGTATGATTGGAGGAGATAACGAAAACAACGATAATAACAATATTGGATTTATGATTGAAGATAAGGAAGGCAATAGTAAAAATAATTTTGGATTTATGATTGGAGATAAGGAAGACAATAATAATAATCCTGTTGGTTTTATGATTGAAGACAATAAAAATAAAGATTGTATGATAAAAGCTAATAATAATGACGATGAGGATTTGCGAGTATATTTACAACAACAACAATCATTATTATTGGAAAGTTGGGAAGATAAAGTAAAAAATGTTCGAAATGTTGAAAAAAGAGAAGGTGAAATAATTGTTCATTTAAATTGGTTGGTATAAATTTATTTTTATAAATTATTAGATCCTCAATAATCTCTAATAATGTGTAAATGAAATAAAGGAATAATGGTAGAATAACATCACATACAGCTGAAATAGTAAATATTAGGTGTCCTCAAAAGGTACATACACATATAAAAAATAAATAAATTTTTGATTAGTGTTAACTAACATTTAAAGATTTTAATTTTTTTTAAAAGATTATTAGCTTTTATGAAGACCATTTGAGATTCAAAGAATAAGATTATATTTATCAGTTGTGTTATATGTTGATTGAAGAAGAAAAGTTTTGGTAAATTTTGTAAAGCAATATATTTCTCTGGTAATATAATAAAAATTTATTTATAATCCAAGTTATCATCTACAATGTTGACTGTCATTATAATATTATCATCAGCATTAGCATTTTTTTTATTTTTTTGTTGTTGAATAACTGAATCCAAAGTTCCAACCTTATTGTTGTTGCTGTTGTTAATATTAATGAAAATGTTTAAATCTTCAAGTTGACGACGACGAAGCCGATGAATAACTTCATCCAATGTCAATTCAATCTGGCAATGATTACGTATTATAGAAATTTCTAAATTTGAAAAAAAAACCCCCTCAATTAATAAAGGATATCACGTACATATCATATACAGATACCATATAGATTAGATAGAACATACTAGGCCAAGTAGCCTTTTCACCATTTAGTGTAGCTTCTCCCATTATTTCAGGAGTAGGATTGGATAAAAGTTTAAGAAAATTCATATAACTTATTTTAGGAACTATTGTAATATCACCACAATAACGTTGTGATACTATTGCTTGAATCATATATATTACACTTGGCGCTACTCCAAGTTCGCTCAGCTAATATAAATCGAAAATATATTGATAGAATAGGATAGGATAGGAGGAATTGATGATTATTGAACACTATCAATCAGTCATGTTTATATTTATATTATAATATATTTATTTACCTGATTCATTCGATGTTGTAATTCAGAAGTGGCTAAAAACAAAAACCAGTTAACTAATCTACTGATAGGCGATGGAATCAATTTTTTATCTAAAAATGGAACTACGTGTGGATTCACTATAACATATGCAATATATTAGTAATAAATTATATTTTACAATTAAAGGAATCAATCAACAATTAATTGACCAACTAAATAACCAAATAACCAACTAACCTTGACATACAATGAAATGATTTACATTAAAAAGTTCCGAAAGCTTATTCATTGGTAGATCACTAATAAATAGATAGATGAAAATAAATATAAATAAACATTTAAAAATGAAATAAATAATTTTAAATACATACTTTTCCACAGATCCATCAATCCATCGATGTCCTACAAATAGTCGTCATATTATTGTAAATATTTAATATTACCATTATTATGAAAATGTAACAAATAATATTATAATAAATAATAACCGGAAGGATTCCATGGAACTATGTTTCCTGATTTATCTTTTGCCATTAAAGGTGTTGAATTATAAATTAATGGAATTGAGCAAGATGCAGCACTATATACATGGTAATATAGTAAATGAAAACGAGAATAAGGAAATTGGTTTTACATTTACTGAAAATAAATAAATAAATAAAATGCAAGTACGCGTGACTTACACGGCTGACCAGATCAACTTTAAAAAAATGTTGTAAATTATTAAAAATTAAATATATCAAAGCCATATTAATTAATATTAAATTCAAATATTTATTAAATGATAATACTTACTACATTTGGAGCAGTTAAATAATTGAGTAGTCTTGGCATTTCATAAACGGTAGATGAACTAACTGTTATATTCAAAACTCTTCTTGTACGATTATATGCCTCCTACAATTAATCAATTATGCAATTATAGAAATCATTATGTTGTTGTTATTATTATTATTACTTATATAATAGAATTGATAATTATTTACCTGAAATGTCATCTCGGGAATATTTTTTCTCATGCTGTTTTTAAATACCTCCACATCAAAAACTACACCTAATGATATAATTTCACGTATATGTAATATATAAATAAAAAATAATTTATTTATTGATTTGAATTTTGAAAACAAATACCGTGTTTTAAAAATCTAATTGCTCTTCTACACCAAGTATCTGGATCTGATGACCTTTCAAAAACTTCCTACAATAATTTGTTGATTATTTAATTAATATGAAGTATATTATATAAATATAACATAACGTATATGTGTGTATATATATATATATTTACCAAATCAAATGCAGGAGAAGTAAGTAATTTCAAAGTCTCGGGTATTTCTTCATCTGTTTTTGTACAAAAAATAGCAGCAAAAATAGATCCACTTGATGCACCAGAAATAATACGAGGTAAAAGTTTACACTCGTAAAGACTTTTAATTACTCCCGTGTGTATAAGTCCTAACAAACAATTGATTATATTTGATTAATTGTATTAATTATCATCCCATAACTCCATCACCAGCATCAGTAAAATTTACCGAATGTAGCACCACCACTTAATAAAAGAGCAGTTCTTCCAAATGATTGTCTTGTATTAGTGAAAAACTCTAATTTTGCTTTTGTAGATATTTCATCTGATTCAGTGTCACATATTATATTCATTTGTTTTACTACTTCATTTATATATGCTTCAATCAATCTTTTGGTCCCAATATGTGTATGTGCATATAACTATAATCATAATCATATAAAATTTAGGAAAAGAAACAATAAAATCAAGTATTTTTTTTTTCCTAAAAATCTTACTTCAGGTTGACCCATATCACCAAGATTTCTTGCTAATGAGGTTCTTAATAAAAAAATCATTTGTGATAAATCACCAGTTTTACGTGCTTTCTTTAACTGAGCAAGCCTTCTCTGTAGTAATTCAAAATCATAGTCATCTGAACTTGGAGTATTCTTCCATTGATCATTTCCTTATCATTTAAAGATTTAAGGATTAATTATTATTGATTATTAATAATTAATAATTTATCCTCCCAATATAATAATACCTTGTAATTGATCCAATATTGTAGCAGCTTCTGACCATTGTTCATAATTAGTAGCAATTTCCATTAAACGTTTGTAATATGATTGTTGATCATGGAGTGATAAGAAACAATCATAAAGCCTCTAATATTTATTCATATTAATAATATTTTGCCTAATTTACTATTATTACAATGATATAAAAATACCTTGATCCAATAATAAGAAACATCAAAAGCTACTGATTTTATACCAGATACTAAGGATGATAATGTGGTGGATATCGAGGATGGAGCATTTTCTTGATCTTCAATTCTGCCATGATTTGTTTGTTGATTAGAAGAAGATGGAAATAACGATGATGATGGTAATGATGATGATGATGATGATGATGATGAAGGCAATAATGGTGATAAGATAAATTTTATACATTATCGTAATGGTGATATTGAACCATTAAATCAAAAATCTTCAAGTGAAAATACAATTGGTACTTGTAGTTTTTATGAGACTCACACAAATCAACAATTTGATTTCAAATTGAAATTTAATTAAGATAAGAGTCGTACCTCCATATAAGAACATCGTATGAAAGCCACTATATAAGAAGAGCATATATGTTGAGTAAAACGCCTCCATCTGAGAACAACATCTTTATAAGAATATCTTTAGAAAAAGTTAATATGCTCCCGAGAAGGTATTAATGGATGCTAGTGTAGTAATTTTATAAACATTTTGTATTTATATTTTATTAGATAGATAATTTTTTTAAAATAGATCATTAAGAGTATTTTACCTATTACGTAGTAGAAATTAATATTTTTTAATATAACAAACATTTTTTTTTATATTGTGATATAAAGCTATAATAAATATCCATAATTTTCACTATATGTAAAAAAAAATCAACTGTTTACACTAATATTATTATCTCTTAAACGGTCAGAGTATTCTTTAATGGAAACACAAATTAAAGTTTTGATCATTCTTATGGGTCAATTTAACGATCAGCAAAGTAAAAACAGTCAATCGACCAATTTTTAAAGAGAATTTTACAAAAACCACAAGGACAACAACTGGATTTTTATTTATAGATTAATTGGCTGAATCTCAAAGATCATTTTCGTATTAGAAAGTGATGTCCTCAGAAAAATTTTATCGGCTATCAATAGCCGATTAACCGTTTAAGGGATCCTTTATTTTTAATAACAAGTTTGAACATTGACAAATGTCAATAAAGTTATTATTAAATATAAATTTTTTTAATGGAATAATGTTCTATTTTACAACATTTATATATCATTGATATTTAGGAAGGTCTCTCTATCCTCAAAGAATAAAGAATTCTGGAAATTTTGATTATCTGGTGATTTCACTATCATTGCAATATATTTTGCGTTTAGTTTTGCTACTAATACTAATGCAAATAATGTAATTTGTTAATAGGATATGGCAATCTACGGATATTAAGTTCAAGCTATTTTGTTTAAATATAATTTTTATTATTCAAAATATCTATTACTATTGTTACTAACCGTTCGAATTCCATAAAAACTAATTGATTATTTATAATACTTTGTTGAAGGCCTGAATATTTATTATAGAATGGTTTTTTCATACCATATTGACAATAGCAAATGAAACTCATTATTGATCGATTGTAATTACAACTTGGTTTTTATAATACCAATCAGATCTTTATCCTAGCGATGTCCTGTAAAGAAAAATTGTTAATAAACATAAATTAAATTTATAGCCTAGATTCCCACGAATAAATACGCATGAGTTTATTTATGTTTATAGGTTTTGTACAATAGAAAAACGAATTTTCAATTAGATCTTGTGGATCAAAACTTTTTTATAAATTACTGAAGAACATCAGTAAAATTTTGGTATTAAATTTAAGTTTTTGTTTGCTTTTTTTAAAAAAGAGGTTTTAAAATTTCAACTTACTGAATGCAGATAAATAATCGACCTTCATAAAGGCAAAGATCAGATCTAAAGTACTTCGAGCATGTTTTGAATAACCTAGAAACATGCATTGAATCTTAATGAACTTAAAAGATGAATGGGATAAAATTCCTCGGAACGTTTTAATGAAGTATGTCTCAAAGAATTCAAGCCTGTATGGGAGAATAAAAGATAGCTAATTAAATTTTGAAAGTAGAGTTAGTATTAGTCAAGTGCCAATTTTCTTACCCTCTAAATAAATTTCACCGCCACTCAGTGTTACTCCGTTCATTAAACAGCTTAAAGTAGTAGATTTGCCAGTTAAAAGAATTCTGTGTCCAAAAATTTAATTTGTGCAATAAACAAAAACGATCTTTTGGTCAAACAGTGTACTTGCATACAGAACTTATTTTTCTTTTCATCCAAAGTAAATACAGAATAAAATCATGACTTTGGCTTTCTGCTAGCTTTACCTTGTGCAATATGTTACAAGTTGCATTTACTTTTGTAATGTAGTTGTTTGTTGTCGTTTTATAATTTCTTCTTTTTTTTTCAAATTTTTAAAATGTGATGATGTATGTAATGTTATTATTATTATTGCATGATTATTTTTGAATTGATGTAACATAAAAAAAAAATAAAAATAATACATTTACGTATAAATAAATTTAAAATAAATTGTTGCTAATAAAAATTTATATACACTTGGAAAGGGCTAACTGGCAATTATGAATTAGATCAAACTGCTTCAAAAAGTGAAAATCGTTGAAGAAATGTAAATACAGTTCCGTGTCCAGTCATTTTCTCAAGAAACGAATATTTATGATAATAATTAATAATTCATCATCATTTATTTTCTCTTGATTTTAATTAAATGGATAATAAATGTTTGTTATACAAAAATTAGTGCCTAGAACTTCATGTAAAAAACATAATTTTTTTTATTCATAGTAACATTTGGAGAAAACAATAGTTTTTGTTTTCAAATTGTTTTATGTGAAGTTGGTGTTACATAGTAATTTAAAAATGACCGGCTTTTTTATTTATTATTAAGGTAATATATAAAAGTCAATTTATAATAAAACAAGATTCTACTATATTGAGTTGTTTTGTTTTCATTGACTTTTTTATAAGCCGAACTTTCTGAACAGTTTCATGGCCAGTAATTACATAATAGCCTGTTTAGTAATTCAATTCAATGGGAATAAAATGGGAATATCAGTTTGAATGAATAAATGAATGAATAGTAAGAGCAAAGATTAATAGATAATGAGCCTTGCTAACAATAATTTATCTAAAGTCAATCAAATATTAAAGCAGTTGTTCCACGGGAAGTCGTGGAATAACAATATTAATATTTAAAATATCAATTCGGAAAATTATGCACGATACATGATCATAACTGGCACCTAATATAGCAGTGTTAGAATATCAAACTTAAATTTAAATAATACTGTGTCACCATTCACAGAAATTTATTGTTTTTCATTTTTAATTTAAATCCATTGACATAAAGCTCCGAACGAATCAATGAAATTCGAATCGAATTGAATCAAATTTGAATTGTGCTCTGATTCGATTCGATTCGATTCGATTCGAACTGATTTGAATGTTAAATATATATTTTTTGATTCGAACTGATTCGATTCAATTTGATTTGAACTGATTCAAACATATGATTTGATTCGAACTGATTCAACTTAACTCGATTCGAACTAATTATTGCGGCCGAAACTACGCTTAGTGGGCCGAAATTGCCAAAATTATTGGCCTAAACTTTGATGAAACTAATTATAATGGCTGGAAATGTGAGTTTTTAAAATAAAGTATATTGATTTAGATATTTATTATATGTATTAGACGAAACTATGTTTTTTTCAAAAACAGTTTCGGCTACCATCACTAAATAATATCCTTTATCAATTAAAAAATTTAAAATATACACAATCTTGGTTTAGCAGATAGTTTGGGTTTAGAAAATTTTTTCCAAAAATCCGTTATTATTATATTCAAACCTTGTCACAGCGGATTATAATAATAATAATAATTAAATTCTTATAATAACGGATTTTTAAAATTTATGCTTCACATATAAAAACATAAAATTTTTCTTATTATTATGTGTCCCGTCTATCCGTTGTGACTATATCAAGAAATCCGTTATATCGAGAAAAATTTTATTATTATTATTATTATTATTATTATTAAACCACAATATATTATTATCCATTAAATTGAGGTACATTACATTGAGATTCATTTATTTAATATGACATAAGAAAAATTTAGAATCCGGTTTGAATCCAAATCGAATCGAATTGACTACAGATCGTATCGATTTGATTCGATTTGATTCGGAGCCTTACATTGACAGAACACGATAATACACAATAATGAATTTTGAAATCTTTCGTTTATTATAGTGCATTATGATCAATACAACTTGTATCATAAATATAAAGAATAATTAGAAAAAATTGTAAAATAAATAAATTGTTATTACACTTAATGTTGTTTTTTATTAATGATGCTATTAATTAGTGCTGTCAATTCAAACTGCCGATTAAATATATCTTGAAGTTGTTGGCGACTAATTACTATTTGATCATTTTGACAATCATTAGAATCTTCAGAGCTTAGATGAGTAATGTTCATGTTGTTGTTGTTACTGATTGGACCAATAGATATGTTCTGGTCATTGATATCATTATTACTGACACCCATTTGAATTACATTGCTTAGATTGTTAAAAGAGCCTTGTTGAATGGAATCATTGTGAACCAAATTTCCATGAGTGGAATCAGTAGAGTCAATGTTTTGATGAAGATTATTGTCTCCAACATTTGTTTGTCCATTTGAACAAGGAATAAGTCTAAGATGCTGATTATCAATACTGTTATTAATATTGTCAGAATTATCTTTACCCATTTTTATTATTTTTGAATTGTATGATTATTTTTTGGTGCTTTTTATGTTAGTAAATTGTTACACGATTCATTTTTGTCATGCAGTACAAATAGCCAATACTCTATCTCAAACTTAAATTTTTTCTTTGAATAATCATTTTTTATTAAAAAATTACTATTTTGTTTCTGGCATCATAGAATGTAAATAACTATGATATATGCTGAGCTTTTTATAGGCATTTAGATAAATATGTTTTATATAAATATGTTTTATATAAATATGTTTTAGATAAATATGTTTTAGATAAATATGTTTTAGATAAATATGTTTGCATTTACAAATATATTTACTCTTGCAACATTGCTTATAAAAATTATAAAATAAATTCTTCAACTATAAATTATTATGTTATTAATTAATATATACTGTATATAATATAAAACATGTTATAATTTTTTTGTTATTTTTTTGTTGTTTAGTGAGGTATTGTTTGTTTAATGAGGTATTGTTTGTTTAATATTGTTTAGTGAAATATTGTTTATTAGGGAGTGTAGTTATACAAATTATATAGTGAAACCTAGTGAAAGGATGATTAGAAAGTAAAAAACATATTTGGAATTTTCATTTGTGACTGAGACACACAATCTGAGAATATCAACTTCAAGTATTTCATATATAATTGAAGAAATATTTAAACTTCTTGATGAAACAAATATTGGAAAACAAGATTATGGAATATCATGACAAGTCTGATTGGTTTTGTTCGAATTTTTTTGTGACTAAAAGAAGCAACTTAAGATCCAATTGCTTGGTTAGAGAAAAATATGTTCCAATTTTAGTAATAAAATTACCCGCTTCTTCCGCAATATCAGAACATAATTGGAGTGATTTGATTATGAAATGTTTTTAAAACTTGTTTATATGAAAAAGGTTTGAAAATTGATTCTGAATATCAAGCAGATATCAATGATGAGAGTGAAAATGAAGACGGAGATGAAGTTGAAGAAGTTGACAATGACTTGGATTTCGA